GGGCATCACCCTTTCCCCTGATTTCTCATCAGTCATATTAGTCACAAAGATCCAATTAGGGCAGGGGACGTGCGAACCCCAACACTCTGAGAGAGGTTCCAGGCTGAGGAGGCAGCTCGGCAGGACCCCCGAGTTGGCTAATGAACAGCTTCCTGCCTCCAGGCCCTTGCCCAGGAGAGACGTGTGAGCCTGCACTCAGAGGCGCCTGTCCAGTCAATGTCTGGCCACGACCACCGCGGTGGGCCGGGTCTAGGGCCTACCTCCTCCTGCTGGAGCCCCTGTCTTCCTGAAACGTCCAGCCGGCTGCAGAGGCCGTCTGAAAAAAGGTCAACATGCCAACGATACACTCGAAAGATCGTTTCAAAGTCCCACGCATCCAAAATGAGGGAGGTCTGCACTTCACTACACGGCACAGGATTTGACACAAGCGTCAGGGCCTTTTATACATCTGGGTGCATGGAGAAACCTGCCGAAGGTTTCTCACAAATGCAATTTGCTGTATTTCCTAAGTGCATACACAGGTATTGGCAAATGTACAATTCGTCATTTAAAAACATTAGAAAACATGTTACTGAACACTCAGTGTGCCAGAAGTTGCTTTGTGCACACTGGGAGCAATAGATCCCAGCCTGACAGTGGCTATTAGAGGGCCTGTGTCCACAAGGAGATCTCGTTTACACTTTGGGAGGCGTGAGCTGAGCTCCCTGGGGGACACTCTCTCTGTTCATCTCAGAAACCTCATTCCCACTCCACAATCAGTGTTCCGAAGACATTTAAGAAAGACGGAGGAGGGAAGGAGAGGGGAGAGAAGACAGGTAGGTAGGCAGGCTGTCACCCATCCAGGTGTCGACATTATGAAACCAATTTTTAACTTAAAATAGCCGACAGTTTTAGATCGTCTGTGAAGAGCCTCAGATAATCACTACCTTGGCTGTCCACAAAGGAAGAAGGAAGAAAAGTAGGGAAAAGCTTCCTTTTCCCAAATATTATGCCTCCTGATTTTAATCCAAGGGCTCCATCCGCGTGGAGACATTTCCCCCGGCAGCCCGTTGTTCTCCACCATGTGTCAGGGGCTAAGAAGACAAGTGGAAGGCCCCCACCCCGACACCTTAGGAAGTGACCTTCCTCGGGAAGAGGACCTTTGCAGATGTAACCAAGGTAAGACGAGGTCA